TTATGAAATATGAATAGTATCAAAAAACTGAAACTATTAAAAGCTCACCCAAACATACTCTAAAACTTGCAATATATCATGTAATTATACCTAACTGATAAGGAAAACGAAAATGAATAAGTTATAATATCACTTGATATATATTGTAAATTTATAATATAATATATTATTTATATAATTTATTTTTTTATTTAAAAATTTATTTATGATATATAGATTTATTTAATATTATATTAAAATTATAAATTTATAATTTTATATAATTTTATAATTATAAATTTATTGTAAGAATCATTCAATCACTCATGTGCATCAGACCTTTTCAATGCTTGAGGCTGCCATTTGTTTCAAATTTTATACTTTATTTTTTAGTACATTATTTGAAAAAAAAAATATTAATGTTTATCCGCCTTACTTTTAAAAAATTAAGAGAAAAAAAATAAAAATCACTTTAATGCATGTTTTAAAAATAAGGTAATTTAATTTTTTTTAATAAAAATTTATTGAAACGACGTAGTTTTGAGGTGATTTTCTTCTTAATCTTTAAAAAGTAAAGTTAATAGACACTATTTTTTATAAAAAAATTATATTATAAAAAATAATTATTTTATTTTTTTATCTTTTTTATTTATCTTACAATTCAAAATTTTAATTTTTAATTTTTAATCTCAACTTATTAATTATTGGAGTCACCCTTTCTCAACTGTACTTTTATACCTGTTTCACCATGCATTCCCCCTTGCAAATCACGAGTCCCCACCCCCACCGTTTCAACTTTCAAGCCCATGTGGCCTTCGGGAGACAAACCCACCCACTTTGGCTTAACAACACAGCTGCGAGCCTTCGTGGTTCCCACTGCACCGACACTTCTATTTTCCCCCTATTTTCCACCTTTTTTTTTTTCCCTTTAATTTTCCCTCCATTTACCTCATTACTGCTTAACACACATGACACATCCCACTCTACTTTGTGCCGCACTTAAATTCTCCCATCTCTTTTCATTCACTGCTACATCCCCAACT